TGAACATAGCCTGTGTTTTGATTGGATTCACATAGGGTAAAATGAGAGTCGGCAGGTTCTATCTCAGTGTGTAGCACAAACCCATAAATCAGTTAATTCCATAAACCTTAGTTAACCATAGAGAACCCTGCAGTAGGCATACAACTACTGAGTATAATATCGGTTACTTTAAAAAAAATACTTTAAACTTGTACAGAAAAGAATAGTCAATATTTCTCTACCCTGTGGATGGAAAATTAAAGTATTTTTTTTTAAATTTTTAGTTTAGATAGGGGCTACTGGAAAACAGGTAATAAAATTTCTTAAGGGTGTGAAGAAAGTTGCCATGAAGATTTATAGAACAAGGTTTGGTATGAAAGACTTGTTCACATAAAGCATAAGCAGTTCATGAGGCCCATAAGATACAGTGATAATCATTGGCTATGAAATATCATTAGACAACACCATGAAGAACAATCACTGAGCAAGTGATTGTAAGAAATTATCATTTGTCAACAGAGTTCAAGGGTAGGTATAGACAGGAAAACAAAAAACTGACCAGAAAAGTTCTATATGTAGCTGTAACAGTAACAGGGTGCAAGAAAATTATTTGTTTGTTCTGTTATTTATGTGTCTCACATAAGTGACTCTGGGTGACTTATATAATAATTTAAAAAAATAATTGTCGACAAAGCCAAGAGTGGGCTGCTGGGGTTCTAGTTAGGCTTCTGCCCAGTTTGGTGAATCCACCAAATGCCACCCCTGGCTGGCCACGGCCGCCCGCCCCTCCCACCACGCCCCACCGGTCCCAGGAGTCTCCACACGGCCTGTTCATAATGCCAGGTAAGTGCAGGGTCAGGGAGGGGGGGGGGAGAAATGGGCCTACAGGAGGTTCTGGGAGTTCAGAAACCGGCTTGTTTCCAGCCTCCGGAGGGCCTCCAAAGCCTGGGGGAAGCAGTTTTCACCCTCCCAGAGGCTCGAACAAAACCTCTGGAGCCTAGGGAGGGTGAAAAATCCCCCCCCCACTGTGGTACAGGAGGCTGACTACGCCACGCCTACCATGGCCATGCCCACCCAGCAACGGTGGAGTGAACCGATTGCTGCAATTTTGGAGCCCACCCCTGCAAGAGATGTCAACTATTACATTCTTGGGGGGCCAGGCCATAACACAAAACCAAGGTTTTAGAGCCTTGCAAATGGCCAGCACAGTCAGAACTAATTTACTCTCAAGTAGTATGATGTTCCAAAGGGTTCCACCACAAAACCGCGTTCGACTAAAGCGCGCTTGATGAAATCGCGTAGCTGACGTCATCACAGTGCGACGAAAAAAGCACGCTGTAAACGCTAAAGCTAAAATTAACCCCTAAACCTAAACCTAACCCCCCTAAACCTAATCCTAAACCTAATCCTAAACCTAATCCTAAACCTAATCCTAAACCTAACCCTAAACCTAACCCTTAACCTAACGCTAAACCTAATCCTAACCCTTAACCTAACCCTAACCCTAACCCTTAACCTTAACCTAACCCTAACCCTAACCCTTAACCTAACCCTAAACCTAACCCTAACCCTTAACCTAACCCTAAATCTAACCCTAAACCTAATCCTTACCTTAACTTGAATTGGCTTGCTTTCAAAGCGCTATTTAAAGCGCCCTTTTTTCTCCGCGGTCGCTGTTGTTGCCCTGCTGATGGCGTCAGCGACGCAGTTTAATCGGGCGCACTTTAGTGGAGCGCGGTTTTGTCGTGCCACGATTCCAAAGGATGGGCATTGTGAGAGAAAAAGTATTTCTCCTGGGCCCCACTAATCAACACACCTTAGTTGGTATCACAAAGAGCAGCACCAGCCAGACTCAATGGGATGGATAGAAATAAATGCAAACAAACAAGAAATGAATTATGATAATTACTGATTCTCCATTGTAGATAACTGACTGCTTGCTGCTGAGTAAGCAGATGTTGTTACAGAGGAAGACTACAAGGCAGCCAGTTTCCAGAGAAATGTAACAGAACCTTGGCCGAAAAGTTCAGCAGGAAAGTTTGACAGACAGATCCCTAATAAATTTTCCTGCTGAATTGACAGTATGCTTTTGGCAGACATAAGAGCTTAAAAAGGGAATGAGTAGAAACAAAAGCATGTCTATTGGTAGTGCCTTAAGAAATAGGAGAGAAGAAGGATAGACAGGATTGCAGTTGTTGGCTTTTGTTCTCATCTAGTATTTGGTTTTTAAGCAGAAAACAATGGGATCTGCAGGAATAGGTCAAAAGGTAGCATTATGATCCAAGTCGTTTTGTGCATTCCTGTGATGTTGACGCATGTAGAAAATGGGCAGGACTCGGATCACAATGTTACGTCTTCCATCTTGCCCAGTGTCTCTTATAGACACTGTTGGAAGGGTGATCACTTGGCATATATTGTCTGCAATTGTAGGTTACTCATAGAAAAAGGCAAAACACTGAAACAAGAAATGGTGGCATATCAGTTCAAAAGAGGATTTAAAGATTCACCAGATCAAACAAAGAAGCCATTACAATAAATGCTGAGGGAAGAAACAACTATATTTAAGAAAAACATAAAAAACCAAGATATACAAAGCAAAAGATAGAAAAATTATTCTGAGCTGGTGGAAATAAAAAACAGCCTTGAGGCCTTCATACACACATAATGCCCCCCTTGCTCCCCCCACAAAGACAACAGGCTGTTAGTCTTCAGGTAAAGAAAAAGAGAATATTAGCTACACAAGTAGTGTCATCAGAAGAAAGCTTACGGGACATGAGTCTGAGTCATCTAAAAGATGGACTGTAAGCACAAGATAGATTTCACCTCAGAAGTTTCAGTGAACATGTATTTGACAAAACATGACAAGGTTGATCTGAATTCTATGAAGGGTGGAAACAAAATCTTAAGAGAATCATTCCAGAAAAGACTTACACTGTAGAAAACATTTCTCCAACGGGGCCTACTAGACCATTTAATGAAAATTCAGAAATAGCATTGGTTTCAAGACCTTTATGCCTAAGCACCAATGGTAAGAATATGAAAAACTGATGAGCCTGAACTCTTTATACAGGAAAGAAAATATGATTCAGTAACTATAATCGAAACCTGGTGAGAGAATTCTGATGACTGGAATATAACCACTGAAGGACATAATTTGTTCAAAGAGAAAAGTTATAATAGAAATAAAGGAATATTTGCTATATACGTTAAATCTATTCAGAAATCCAAGTGAATGAATATAGTGGTACTGGTGGAATTAAACACCAGTAACTCTGAAATTTGTACCTGGGAAAATTCTAGAGTAGATCAGAAGTTGAACCATTGAAAATAATTGGGTAATTATCCAGAGATCAGAGTGGATTTTTTAAAAAAATATTGCCATATTAAGCTTTTTTTTAAATGAATAAATTACCTCAGTAGCTGGTGGAAATGCACAGACATACTTATACTATATATTTTTGGCAAAACATTTGTCAGAGTAATTTATGATATTGTATCTAGTTTGGCATATCATTTAATGGATCAGTGTTTCCCTAACAAACATGACCGATACTGAATGGGCTGCCATTCCTGGTTCTTGGAGTCTTTAATGTTTTTATTAATGCCTTGGAATAGAAAGTGGAGGGAAATTGTAAATGACAAAAAGGTTGGCTAATACTAAATAATACTAATAAAAATAAAACTGAAAGTCACAGAATCAAACTTTACTAAGACAAATGCAAAGTTCTTCACTTAAGAAATGAAGTCCAGAAATTTAAGATCGTGGTTACCTAGCTTGGTAATAATCATTGTGAAACAGATCTTGAATGAGTATTTGACAGCAAATGCAATTTATTCCTAGGTCAACAGAAATACAGGTGTAAAATCACAGGGGGAATTAGCTTCAATTGACAATGCAGTAATCAGATCATAATGAGCATTGTGTTCAATATGGAACAATAAGTAAAATCCTGACTTTTCTGAACAGGTTGAACAACTCTGGAACGCCTTGAGCAATTTCAACCAAACTTGGTACACAGATGACTTACTCTCTGGAGAAAAATACTGTGGGGGTAAGACACCCCTAACACTCTCGGGGTGTATGTTCTGTTAAGATACATCCTGTTGTGCCATACTGCCTACTGACTTCTACTGCACAGTGCAGTGAAGTTGCCATGGTAATGGCTTCACAGTACTCCACCAGGGGGCTCCCTTTGGTAAGAGGGAAAATCCAACATTGGAAATTACATTTGGTCTGGACATTATATTATTACACTATAAATAGATACCTGGGCAACGCCGGGTTATTGGCTCGTATTTTAAAAGATTGGATTGAGGAATATAGCACTTTTTAAAAGGCTATCACAGAGAAGATTAAGACCTGCTCTATTCCCTAGAATGTAGAAAAAGAAACAATACGTTTAATTTTCCAGGAGGAAGATTGTTTAAAAAAAGAGCCTCTTAATATACAGAAGAGTAGAACAGAGTTAGAGAATGAACCTTTGCCATACTACTACCTAAGGAAAAAAGTTAGGTAGCCATCTGTTGAGACCCTTTGCTGTAATGTGGACATTTGCCACTGAGAAGAAGTTTCATGGCCAACCAATCAATCAATGATAACTTATGGAATTTCCAACCCAGAGACAAAGCACCACTGATGGGTAGCTGTCTCGATAAGCACCAACTTTTTGTTTCACGCGTTGCTTATAGGCATCCACTTCATCCGGAGTAGGAAATAGCTGGGATTCCTATACTCAAAATCGCCAATTCACCCAGATTTTGGTGAAGTTCACACCGAACTTGGCAGTGTCTAACATGAGGTCGCTCCCCGCCGCCGCCCATAGACCGGTTTTGAATTGAAGCTAGGCGCTAGGACCCAGAATATTTTCAATATCAGAACTATCGTCTCTGATTTGAAAGAGATCGCTGAGATTCTCAGGGGGCGTGGTCCAATACGTTCCCACACAGCGCGGAGGTGTGGCTTGCGGGAGGGCGTGGCTTGTGTTATGCTTTTTTTTTTCTTTCTTAAGCGAGAGTTATAGTACTTGTAACCTGCTTCAGAGCGTCTGGTTGGCGGCCTCGGAGAGCCATGGCGGGGAAGCGGCCGCTAGTAGTCTTGTTCGACCTGGGCGGCGTCCTTTTGGGTAGCACTCAGATGGTTTTCCGAAATCTGGAGAAGACAATGGGCTTGCCTGGGTGGGTAATCGAAGGGAGTAGAAGTGGTGATGTGGGTGGGCTGGATTTGCGTGCCCGTCCGATTCTCTTTCTGTGTCTTTACCTACGACGTCTTTAGCACTTTGTGTGCTGCGCCCGTCCGCAGTTATGGTGCAAAACTTAATTTTTGCAAGTTCAGTTGGCTTCATAAACATAAACGCCTGTGGCACTTTCTTTCACTGCGTATACGCAATGAGTTTTCCAACGTATTTATTCAAAAGTTCCAAGAGTTAGACACTGCCAAGTTCGGTATGAACTTCACCAAAGTCTCTGGGTAAATTCACGATTTTGAGTTATAGGAATACAGATTTATAGAGCTGGCATTTTGTCCATTGATCTGCAGCATTGAGAGAACCAATTGTGTGCAAGTTCTTCGGGATTTTGAGGAGTCTTAAAATAGGGGAGAGAAATTCCGATGCCGCCTTGCAGTTAGGATTATTATGCTCAATAATTGTAAGCAAAGGTGTTGTAGTAATTGATATTTTTATAGCGTCAACTGATGTGTGTGATACATTATCCAGAACAGAGAAACAAATCCACGTATCAGAGAACTTAACTGCTACTAGAAATTATGTATGGAAAATGGGAAGGAAATGGAAGGAAAAGTAAACCAAGAAATAATGCACAATGATTGTACTTGTGATTTGTTATGACAGACTGTTCTGTCCTTTATTTAAGATTTATATGCTGCTTTTTATTGTAAGAAAATACCAAAGCAGTTTACAACTATTATAAAAGCAGTCGATTGAAAAGACATTGGAAGTTCCTGCTTTGGAATATAATTTTGACAAATAATTTTGATTTTGTGAACCCCTGAGAGGTTCTAGGGGGACCCTCAAGAGTTCCTTGGACCATACGAAACATGGGTATACAGAGGATTCACTTTAAAATATCTGGTGCCAGTTCCAGAACTTTATAAGCTAGTTAATAATTACTATTTCTCCTGTATATTGATTCCCACAGCTTATTTTGTTAGCATTGTGGTAAATCACTGGTTACTTAGGGTGTTGCTTAATAACTTCTTTGATATGTAATGTACTATTTACTTTTCCCATGGATATTATGTATAACAGCTCAGTTTGGTAGAATATTATTATCCTTATAATAATGTATAGGAGACTGATATCTGTAGAATAGAATAGAATAGAATAGAATACTTTATTGGCCAAGTGTGATTAGACACACAAGAAACAAGGAATGCCTGGCTAGGTGGCTCAGTGGCTAAGAAGCTGAGCTTGTAGATCAGAAAGGTCAGTAGTTTGGCGGTTTGAATCCCTAAGATAGGTCTCCTGGGTGAGCAAGAGGTTGGACTAGATGACCTCCAAGGTTCCTTCCAACTCTGTTACTGTTAACTGAATCTGTCTTTGGTGCATATGCTCTCGGTGTACATAAAGAAAAATAAAATCGAATACATTCATCAAGAATCATAAGATACAACATTTAGTGATAGTCATAGTTTACTAAGAGCCGAGGTGGCGCAGTGGTTAGGGTGCAGTACTGTAGGCCACTTCAGCTGACTGCTATCTGCAGTTCAGCGGTTCATATCTCACCTGCTCAAGGTTGACTCAGCCTTCCATCCTTCCGAGGTGGGTGAAATGAGGACCCAGACTGTGGGGGCGATATGCTGACTCTGTAAACCGCTTAGAGAGGGCTGAAAGCCCTATGAAGCGGTATATAAGTCTAATTGCTATTGCTATTGCTATTGCTACTAATAAGTAATCAAATTATACTAGGATACAAATAAAACAATATACATTTTAAAGATGCAAGCAACATGTGTAAGGAAAATAATCCCTGTAGATTTGAACTGAATAGAATTTAGAGAAAAAAGTAACATGGATCTTTGAAGAATGCAGGTGGTTGGGATGCGCAGAAGGAACTAACAATGTATATTTTACATTTAATCCAAATCCAGATATGCGGATATATAAACGGCTGCCCATAGATTTTTAAAAAAAAATATGCTAAGATTCCTATTTCTCCAACTGCAAAGTATGATTAGCAAATGTTCTTCCAAACAGCCAGCAAGTCAGAAAGGTGTATACTAGGTCCAATTGTCTGAGGGGAGGGGCTGCTAACCGGAGCCAGTAAGATTTGTTAAGAAATAGTTGCATAAACAATGCAAAACACTTGCTGCCACTCCCATATAAAGCAAGCATCTTCCCATGGTTATAGTCATGGGAAGGTACTAGGAAGGAAGAGAAGAAGAATAGTAATACAGTCTTAGTAGGTAAAATGACAGTGTTGTGGGAATTAGTTGTTTAGCAGAGTGATGGCATTTGGGGAAAAACTGTCCTTGGAAAATTGGGACTTGAAATTCAATGACCCTGAGCCTAAGTTGGCCTCCTAAGCAATAAGTTCTACCAGAACTAGGGTTTCTGTATGTAGAAGACTCTTTTTACCAAGAGGGTCTGTGAACAGCTTTCCTATCCTTCTGAAAAAGTAAAAATAAAGTAAATTGAAACTAGATAGTTGCAAACTGCTTTAAAACCAAAATAAATAAATAAACCCATTCATAGTACAGGTGGAGGCAGGATTTCCCATTCAGAACAGACTTACTTTAATTGGCTTTATCTAAATTCCTTCCAAAGAAATATGGTCGTTTTAATAACCCAATGTAGGCAAATCAGAGATATATTTTTCTAGCTTAGCATAAAGCATGTGATCATAAGGATATTAAAGAAGTGTATGAACTTGTTCCACATTGAGAGTAGGATCTTCAGAGTAAATTAATAAGTCAGCCAAATAAATTATTAAAAAGTTATCCAAAAGAACATAAAAATATTCGTAAATCACATGAAGACCTAGGCAGTTTTTTACTAACCCATAATTCATTGCTGTAATGGGTATTCAAAGTTCCCATAATAAGAGTTGAAAGCAGTTATACATTAACGATCCTCTTTAATGCAAATTAGCAAGAGCCAATTGAAGGCGTTGAGAAGTAGTTTTCTTGGGAACAACCAAAAATAGCACAAAAAGTTCAAAGAAACACTTTATTTTATTTATTCATTCATTACATTTATTTATTTATATTTCATATTTCTTAACCACCCATCTCCCTCAGAATTTTTTATTTTTTTACTTTATTTACTGCCTATCTCACTTGATTTCCTCCTCTTGAGGAAAATAAATTATGAAAACTTCTGGAGGAATCAAAAGCTGTCTTCCTGTTTTATGATAGTTTTATTAGTTCCCCAAAAATATCACCAAAATTGTCAATTTTCTTTTTTTTTTTGCCCATATTTGATAAGGAGCACAGGAAGCTACTCCATTTTCTATGACAAAAATTGGCATATACAGATAGTCCTTGACTTACAACAGACCATTTAGTGACTTTTCAAAGTTAAAATGGCACTGGGAAAAATGACTTATGACTTACCGTATTTTTCGGAGTATAAGACGTATCGGAGTATAAGACGCACCAAGGTTTTGAAGAGGCAAATTTTTAAAAAGTAGGTACGTAGATAGAGGGATAGAGAGGGAAAGAAAGAAATACAGTAGGTAGAGAGGGAGAGTAGTTAGGTAGATAAAGGGATAGAGAGAGAGAAATAGAGAGAGATTGTGTCGGTAGGTAGAGGGATAGAGAGAAAGAGAAATATAATAGAGAGAGAGAGTAATTTGGTAGGTAGGTAGGTAGGTAGGTAGGTAGGTAGAGGGATAGAGAGAGAGAAAGAGAACGAGAGAGAAATGCAGTAAGGGAGAGAGTAGTGAGGTAGGTAGGTAGAGGGATAGAGAGAGAGAAATAGAGAGATAGGTAGGGAGAGAGAGAGAGTGTGTAGGTAGGAAGGTAGGTAGAGGGATATAGAGAGAGAAATAGAGATAGAGAGAAATACAGTAGATAGGTAGGTGTTTCTGCTGACACAGCACTTGATCAACGTAATTCTCATCAATCAGTTAAAGAGCATTTGGAAAGGGAAAAAATGTTTTTGCACTCTCCAAAGCTCCTAAAAATGGCCCATTTTTTTAAAAGGCATGAATAGCCTGGGGAGGGGGGGCTGCCAGAGTGCTCCTGGCGGGGCAGGGGGGCAAAAACGAGCAAAAAAGCGCCCATTTTTCACGAAAACGGGCCCATTTTTTTTTGTCAAAAAAATTGCTTGCATAGCCTTATGGAGGCTTATAGAGTGCTGCTGGGGGCTCATTTCTGCCCTCCCCAGCCTGCAGAAGCTCTCTAAAAGTCTCCATAAGGCTATGCACGGCCATTTTGGTGAAGGGGCGAGGCTTCGGGGAGGCAAAATTGCTGTATTCAGATTTTCAGCCTCTTTTTTGATGAAAAAAGGTGCATCTTATGCTCTGAAAAATATGGTACTTATGACCATGGCAGTATCCCCATAGTTATGTGTTCAAAATTTAGCTGCCTGGCAATTGACTCATATTTATGATGGTTGCAATGTCCCGGGGTCATGGGATCATTTTTGTGACCTTCTCACAAGCAAAATCAATGGGGAAGCCAGTTTCACTTAACAACTGTGATACTAACTTCACCACTGCAATGATTCACTTAAGAACTGTGGCAATAAAGGTCGTCAAATGGGGCAAAACCTACTTAACAAATGTCTCACTTACATTTTGTGCTTAATTGTGGTTGTAAGTTGAGGACTACCTGTACTAACTTTTGCCTCAGAAAAATAGCATGTCTGAAAAATAGTTAAACTGGACTAGGCTAGATTAAACTAGTCCTCATACTTTCTGAAGGGATGAAGCAGTTTATAGAAATTATAAAGAATCTTCCACTGCAGGATCTTCCATTCCTTACATAATAAGTTTTAGGCATGGCTTATCAAAGATTACTCTGAGGTTTTGAGATTGAAAACGTATATATATATATACTATATTGTATCTGGATGACTGATTAAAAGAAAAAAAAAAACCAGGAATCTGGAGGGGCCAATGCAAACTCATAGGACAACAAGTAAGGCTAAATGTGTAGACACATTTTTAAATTACAATAGTCCTCGAGTTACGACCACAGTTGAGTCCAAAATTTATGTTGCTAAGTGAAACATTTGTTAAGTGAGTTTTGCCCCAGTTTACTAATTTCCTTGCCATAGTTGTTAAAGTGAAGCATTGCATTTTTTAAGTTAGTGACACAGTTGTTAAGTGAATCTGGATTCCCCATTGACTTTGTCAGAAGATCGCAAAAGCTGATCACATGACCTCGGGATACTGCAATGGTCATAAATATGAAACAGTTGCCAAGCACCTGAATTTTGATCACATTGCCATGGGGATGCTGAAACGGTCAGAAGTGTGAGAAACAACAGTAAATCATTGTTTTCAGTGCTGTTGTAATTTTGAATGGTTACTAAATGAATTGTTGTAAGTCGAGGACTAACTATTGTAAATTGAAAATATGGAACTAGAGGAACAGCTAGAGGAACAGAAAAAAGTTGGAACTACTGAACAGTGCAGTAATGAGTTCTAACTACCTTTTTCTTATGTAAAGGATTTGCAACTTAATGTGGCAATTCTACATTCAGAATGAACAAAATAGGTATCTGTGAAACACCTGGAACTCTGTCTTTTCCCTTCAAAACCACAGTTTTTGGAAAAAAAAGCAGCCTCTTTTAAAAATCTTGGCAAGAATGCAGGATTTATACAGGTAGTCCTCAATTTACAACCATTTGTTTAGCAACTCTTCAAATTGAATAGAATAGAGCTCAGAGGGACCTTGTAAGTCTTCTAGTCCAGTCCCCTGCTCAAGCAGGAGAACCTATACTATTTCAGATAAGTGGCTGTCCAGTCCCTTCTTAAAATCCTCCAGTGATGGAGCGCCAATGTCACTTAAAGTTAGAGCGTCACTGAGAAAAGTGACTTATGACCAGTCCTCACACTTACAACCACCACAATATCCCCATAGTGATATGATCAAAATTTGGGCCCTTGGCAACAGCCATGCATTTATGAAAGTTGCAACGATCTAGGGTTGTACATGATCACCATTTGCAACCTTTTCAACCGGCTTCGGAGAGTCAAAATCAATGGGAGAAGCTGGATTTGCTTAACAACTGCAGTGATTTCCTTAACAATCTTGGCAAAAAGATCCTAAAATCAGGTGCTACTCACTTAACAATCACTTCGCCTAGCAATGGAGATTTTGATTGTGGTTGGAAATCAAAGACTATCTATATATCGGTATGTGGAATTCACCATCATTTATCCATATTTTGTCTGCAAGGGCTTTTGTCAGGTTCATTCCACATACAATGGTACCTTGGTACTCAGCATTAACTGATTCTGGGAGGCTCAACGTCTACCAAAAATGATAAGTTCCCAAAATTTTTTTTCCATAAGGAGTAATATAGTGAGTCACGAGGCAGCCAACACCAACAGGTTTTTAGCTTGTGTGTTGAGTACCAAAACATGATGAGTACCGGGACAAAATTTTCACATCAGAATGCATTGAGTACCAAATTCCATAAGTTTCAAAGCAGTTGAATACCAAGGTACCACTCTACTTATGGTCAAATGTGTTGATTCTAATTATTTTTAGACATGCCTCCTTTTTTGCTACAGTTGTGTTTTGTTTCAGGTTAAAGTATATTTCACATTTTGTCTGTTTCAGGTTGTGCAAACACTGCATTGGACCTTTACAATTGAGATAGCTCTGTGATCAGATTGTTTGAACTAATCATCATAAAATTGTACATTTATGTATTTTGAAGGGCAGCATTTTAGGAAAGATGCAGCATATCAAATGATGCAATATCCTTCCAATCCCAGAATAAAATAACTTCCTTTTATAGTTCAGCTTTTTTTAGAAGTGTGTTGCAATTAGATGTGGTGATCTGTGGTGAACTGATTGACAGTTCTTTAACAGAAAGCTAAGCTACTGTATTTTTCGGAGCATAAGACGCACCTTTTTTCCTCTAAAAAGAGGCTGAAAATCTGGGTACGTCTTATAGACCGAATGCAGCATTTTTGTTGCTTCCTGAAGCCCCGCCCCTTCACCAAAATGGCCATGCATAGCCTATGGAGATTTTCAGACAGCTCCTGGGGGCTGGGGAGGGCAGAAATGAGCAAACAATGGGCAGTTCCCGCCCCCAGCCTTCAGCAGCACTCTATAAGCCTCCATAAGGCTATGCATGCAATTTTTTTGACAAAAAATGGCCCGTTTTTTGCTCATTTCTGCCCTCCCCAGCCCCCAGGAACACTCTGAAAGCCTCCTACAGGCTCTGCATGGGTATTTTGGTGAAGGTGGTGTGGTTTCGGGAGGCAAAAAAATGCTGTATTCAGAGTATAAGAGGCACCCAGATTTTCAGCCTCTTTTTGGGGGGGGGGGGGAAAGGTGTGTCTTATACTCTGAAAAATACGGTATTCGTTTTTTTCTCAGATTTGCCTTGCATTCTACCAATATTCCTGCAGCAAGATCTGATTAACTATAGCTTGATATTTAGATGCACAGTATTCTACCATTGGTGTGATGACAAGCCAAACTGCTGTATCCGTTGAAAAGAACTGTTATTCTCTAATTTGTGTGAACGTGTTTTTCAACTTCCAGAGATTTCTTTCAAAAAGTTGTTCAACATGGTGGCTCTGATGGACCTTTCTCCAAAGGGATGACTGGACAGATTGGATTAACTCAGGTAAGAATTAGTTGCTTTTGGAAGAGAACATAGTTCTGGGAAGAACAAATTGTATAAACACCAATGCTCCATTTCTGGCATCTCCTTTTATGCAAAGGGTTTCTGGGTACCAGGAGCAGAAAGGAGGAACAGAATTTCATGGAGCAGAAAGGGATGGATGAGATGAGCCTGACTCACATTATTCAGGATGCCACAAAAACTATTTAATAGCAATAGTACTTAGGCTTATGTACCACTTCACAGTGCTCTCTAAGCGGTTTACAGAGTCAGCATATTTCCTCCCGACAATCTGGGTCCTCATTGGGTCCTCATACCAACCTTCGAAGGATAGAAGGCTGAGTCAACCTAGTGTTGTGGCCTGCCAGCAGCCAGCAGAGCTGGCAGCAGATTCAGACAGTGAGGAGTTTGTGGAGGAACATGGGCCAGTCCTGGAGTCTGGGGAAGGCTCTGATGAGGGCTCTGTGTCAGAGGCAGAGATAGGGCCAGGAACATATGCTAGTTATCAGCTGTTGTCAGAGTCAGACAGCAGTGAGGCAGATGAACAGCTGGAGCCTGTTCCCAGTCTGCGCATGCGCAGAATTGCCAGATAAGGAGACAGCTAAAGAACAGGGTTCGACTTGGGAGTAAGGTCACAGGTGGACAATGAATGGCCCCTCGAGGAGTGAAAGGGGAGTGGAGTTTGTAGGAGATAGTTAGTTCGCTTAATTGGTTCATGACTCTCTGAGAATCCTTGCCAAGTTTTGCAGATATGGGCCTGGCAGCTCTCCAAGCCAGATAAGGTCTGTGACTGTAAATCCTCCCTTGAAAGACTTTGCTGGATGTGAATGAGAAGAATTCACAGTCAATTAATAAAAGGTTTTTTTGCTGGGACCAGGAGTTTGCTTCAGGCTCTTGGGAAGCCTCGGTCAGAACACCTTGAGCCAGTCAGGATCGAACTCTTGGCTGAAGGCAGAGTCAGCCAGCAATACTGCATTCTATCCACTGTGCCACCATGGCTTATGGTGGAGAAATCTTCCCATACAGGCAACATAGCAAGTATTAAATGACGATTTCCATAGCCCTATGAGGCTTGGTTATCTGAGGGACCACTTGTCTTCTGTAATTTTGCCCAGCCAGTAGAAATGTAAAGGTTTGCCATATTCCTGGGCTCTTTGAACAACACAATCTATCTGAATCTGAAGCATGCCTTCTGTTTTGCAACTCCCGCCCCCTAAAATGTGGTTCCCTCTGAGATCCATGTGATTCTCACCTTTGTGTCATTCCAGAAGCCTTTAAAAAAATCTGACAGTTCTCTCAAATCTTGGGCTAAGCGTGCACGGTGGCCCTTGATAGTTCTGTTTTGTATATATTTTCTCTTGTTTGGGCAGATTCCCCTCTGGTTCATTTATTATATACTGCATTTTTTATTTTGTTCTCTGAAGCCAATATGGAATGAGATAGTGTCTAAACTGGAAAAAAAGTAAATAAAGTAAAGCCTTATTCAGATATTGGCTTACTTGACAAAAAGCTCACAAAAATATCACCCAGCAAAATTAGTTTCTTCATTGCAGGCAAAAATGTACATATAGAAATTCTATTCACTGAAATACATGTAAATCAAATACCTTATATTTGTTGATGATCTGGCATTTAAATTCTAGGCTTTTCTCCCCTCCCCATGTTTCTGAGTTGGTAGATTATTGATGGCCTTGGGAGGCATCTGATACATGTTGGTATAGTGCTCTCTCTACTGTGAGAACAGCTACTTTCTGTCTCACCAGTTTCATTTCTTAGAAATGTAATATTCAGGACCCATCATATGGGGATTTTTCAGAAAACCCAAACCAGGAACTCCTTTATAGCTTAGAAAGTGCACCCTCTTCTATTCCCAACATAGTCATCTTCCATGTTTAATATGCTTACAATGGATGTCCTTATTACTTTGTTCTCACTCTTATTTGTGTTAAAATAAACATAGTTGTATTTTAACATCTCTGTTTTAGCTTATTGCTGACTTTGAAGATGATTGCAAGAAAGTTTCTTCTACTTCTAATATCCCCCTCCCTGAAAACTTCTCATTGAGCGAGAGTTTTGTCGAAATGATGGCAAAAAGTGGCTTGAATGTACCCTTCCTGAAGGCTGCTACGCTTCTCAAGAAAAATGGTAAAACCTCTGTTATGCAGGGCAGGGGCATAATGCCTGCTATATTTATTTCACTTTATTTATCATCAAATCAATTCAGTTCTTTTTAAACTGGAAAATGCTCTATTTCTTTGAGTAGGAACTCTTAGAAGACACATTCCTTTTTGTGCATGAGAATGAAAAGGGAAGAGCCAAATGCCTTTTTCAAGAAGGTGCATGTCCTCTGTGCTTTTTATACTTGATTTAGCTTTAAAAATAATTACTGTATATACTCAAGGATAAGCCATTTTAGGTTGCAAAATACTTCTTCAAAGTTTCGTTTTAGCTTATCCGTGGATGGGCTTATTTGCCAATATATGTATATGGTAATTTTTTAAAAAAATACCCATGTTGTTGTTAGTTGTGAAGTTGTGCCCGGCCCATTGCAACCCCATGGACAATGTTCCTCCAGGCCTTCCTGTCCTCTGCCATCCTCTGGAGTCCATTTAAACTCACGCCTACTGCTTCAGTGACTTCATCCAGCCACCTCATTCTCTATTCTCCCGTTCTTCTTTTGCCCTCAATCTTTCCCAGCATTAGGTTCTTCTCCAGTGAGTCCTTTCTTCTCATTAGGTGGCCAAAGTACTTTTGTATGGAAAACCCCATGGACAGCACCAAACGGCAAAATACCCGCATATACTTACAGATAATCAGACCCTCAAATCTTTGGCCAAAATGCTATGAAAAATGTGCCATCTATTTATAAGCCAGTGGTGAAAATAAAAGTGTAAAGACATTTTAAGGGCTGTCATCTTAAAATAAATAAATACAGATAGTCCTCATTTATTCAATTTCCTGCCTCTTTTCAGGTTTCAGAATTGCTGTTCTGACAAACAACTGGATTGATGATACTCCTGGCAGGCATCAAACAGCATTTGCCTTATGTCTGTTGAGGAAATATTTTGACAAGGTGATTGAGTCCTGTCGGATTGGCCTGCAGAAACCAGATCCCAAGATTTACGAGTATGCATTACATGAGCTGAATGTAACACCTGAAGAGGTTAGTGACGTCTCAACATCTTCTCTAACAGATTTCCAGCTTTACCTGTCTGAATCACTCACTACATCAACTTGTAGTGTGTAGTAGAGTTGATAATGTTCCAAGAAACACTGTCATGGTCTGGAGATATTTTTATTGGGATTTAGTTCTCGCTAGTTTAGATTTCAGAGGTGATTCAATGAAATCTTACTTTGATGCCTATTAAACACGATGGTACTTTGAGTATTAATGAGACCTTGGGGATCTATAATCAGATATTATTTCTCTCTTTAATATCTTTGAAAAGTAATTGTGAGGGAGGGAAATTTGACTAGCATTCCACGAAGGTGATAGGTATTTTCCCATCTCTTCTCTAATACACTCTGATTTGCTCTATTAAACATTTTATTAAGGGCAAATAATAATGTGCATAATATGTGCCTTAAATAAGTGAGATAATTATGGAATTAACATGCTCCCGCGCACAGCAAATCTTAATTTTTTCCTATTCTCCCCTACCCCAAAGCTTAAAGCTTTCTATAAAGAAAAAACTCTGAAGAACTGTATTGCATAGTTTTTCTTTCTAAATCTTCTTTCCCCTTACTTTAACATTCTAGTCCTAATGGTTGAGGATATGTTTAAAATTGTGCACAGTGGCTATTGATCTTTTTAAAGATAGGGGGATTAATGAATAAGATCCTATATTTTGAGGGAGGGCAGTACATTATTTTATATATTATTCTTTCCTGTTCTGTAAATTCATTTTGCATACTTAGTACATTTTGCAAAGTTCCACTTCTCTCATTGCAGCATGTAGATTGCCTGAATAAAGAATTTTTTTTCCCTGGAATATGGGCCCTCCACCTGGAGCAGCTCTTGATTCATTCTTCACTTTAGGTTATTTATCTGGATGACATTGGTGCAAACTTAAAGCCTGCTCAGAAGATGGGGATGACAACAATCCTAGTGAAAGAAGCTGATTCTGCTTTGAAGCAGCTTCAGGATCTGACTGGGGTTCAGGTAAGTAGTCCTTATCTGGGCTTTGGTATAAGCAGTTTCTTTGATCTCATACAGGTCTTGTTTTTTCAAACTTTGCTACAAAGTTGTTGCAAATAAGCAAGTCAAGAGAACAAACTTTTAAAGCTTTCTTCAAAGCAAACAGGAAGGCCCGGTATAATATTTTTTTTAGCACAAATTCCACAGGTTAGGAATCATTGAGCAACTGCAAAGCTCTTTGGATGCATTGTATTGATTTGGAAAATGAAGTAAATAATTGCCTTAATTTGGAAAATGAAGTGAATAATTAGAGAATCTCTAGAATTATCTTAAAACTGAACTCAGTTTTCTATTGTAAAGTAGTAGGAAGTCCTCTAGATAATTTAGACCCAAAGTATTTTTTAAAGTTTTTTTATTTGTGGTCTCATACATACATTTATAGGTATATGTTCTCATAGTTATTATTCTTATTATATTTTAACCCTTTTAAACATTCATTTTCCCATATAAAAAAATAAGATATATAATTGAGATTGCCTTTTTTACCATCCCAATACACCTATTGAAAATATGAATAAAATAGTGTGGAAATATATATGGCAAGGGAAAAAGGGAATTAATATAAAAATGCTGCAAGATTCCAGAACCAGAGGTGGGTTTGGATTACCAAACTGGGAATTATGTTACCAGGTGGCAACATTAACTTGGATGAAAGAATGTATTTTATTCAAAAATACAAGGTTGACTTTGGAGGGACATGGCTTACAGTTAGGCAGGCATGCATTTTTGTGGTATGGTAAAAATAAGGTACATGGTTACTTTCAGAGACATTATGTAAGAAATGGATTGTTAACAGTATGGGAAAAAGTCAAAGAAAAAACACTCTTTAGAAATACCAATGTGGCTTTCAACAATGGAAGCGTTGACACACCCGAATATTAGTAGTATGAGAAATATTATTAGATAACAAAACATATTTTATCAGAAAGAGGAGAACTAAAACAAAACTAGAACTAGCAGAACAAGGGATTGATATACCATATTTTCTGGTGTATAAGGTGACTGGGTGTATAAGACGACCCCCTACTTTTCCTGTTAAAATATAGGGTTTGGGCTATACTCGCCGTATAAGATTACCCCTCTTCCGATGCACACCAAATAAAAATTAAAAAACATCAGATTTGATTTCAATATGGTAATTTTGAATTCAAGTGGTTATGACATGCAGGTATTTAGCAGGAAAACTGTCACTTATAAATATAAGACTGTTTGTCATCAAACATGTAATATAAAACATTGCAAGTGGATTAAACTTTTCCTAATTCACTCTAAAGCTGAAAGGAAGGATAAGATGATAAACCCAGGGGGGTGCCATGCTGTTTGTTTTTTAAGCTGTCAACCAAACTGGAACTGATGATAATAGGGGGAAGATGAGAAACAATAGAGAGAGAGCTCATTCACCATGTCTTCCTTTCTCCTTCTTTTACCCTGCACTTCTCCAGGAGTAGTTTATTCATTATGTGGATTCAGCTGACAGTTCTCCCAAATGGAAAGAATCAGATGAGCAATAGCCAGGGAGTATTAATCCCAACCCCAATCCCCTTTGCAAATCTTTTTCCACACTAATCTCACTGTTTAAGATAAATGACTTAATAATGCAAAAGTCCTGATCAACCACACTTTCCTTAAAATTAAATATTTTTGACACATAGGAACTGAATTTTCTTTTGGGTAGAATGGCCCTTCATATCATAGGCTGATGTCACAGAGTAAGAAAGAAAAACCCATATGTGATATGTAAGTCATTTAGTTTATTTGTTCTCCTGATAGAATAATTTCTTTAAACTATCCAAACAAGAACCCCACTAGATAAGATCAAAAGATTATTTTGTTCAGAATCCTGTGGGCAAATGTTTCTAAAACTCCATTAAAGAACAATTAGGATTCTTCCTACTGTCTTGTTTTCAGAGATAAACTGTTTGTGTGGATTTCACAATCAGATTTTTTAAAAAGTCCTAGAGTTAAAATGTCAGAGAAGCGCTATGCTTTACCATCTTAATAGCATTCCAGTTCTGGCCCACTACAAAAATCACAATATTCACTGCTCACCTGGAGCTGGGTTCTCCTAAATGTTATAATAGTGTATTAAGTTAAGCTCGAAAATACCGTATATAAATGACAATACCAAAAGGCCCATTTGCTAGGAGGCAACCGGTGACAGAATACTACTGTGTGACCAACTTGTAAAATATGGTGAAACTCATTTAACAATGCTGTTGCTTAGCAACCAAAATTTTGGGCTCAATTGTGATCATAAGTTCTCTTTTTCTTTGTTTCTTTGTTTGTTTCCTTCCTTCCTTCCCTCCTTCCTTCTTTCCTTCTTTCTTGCGTCTCTCCCTCTTTCTTTTTCTTTCCTTCTTTCTCTCTCTCTCTCTCTTACCCCCTCCCCCCCAAACACACCTTCCAGTTGGCGAAAATTTCTATTTTGCCAGCTTCCCAGAAGTTTGTTTTCTCTGCCGCCCACAGCTCTCAGAGGAAGGAGGCAGGGAAGCAAGCCCTGGGCCTCATCTCTGCCTCTTGCCTCAAGAGCTGCCTTCGGGGACGGCCAGCCAGCCTCTCCCGTCACTGCGCCCTTCACTCGCCTTTCACCCGGAGGCTCTGCTGGTGGGGCACCTCCCATTTAACCTCCCGAGAGAAGCTTGGGAGAGATGTGTAAACGGATGCGAGCCTCCCGAGGAGGATGCTGGACACCGGGGGTGGGTGGGAGGGATGGCTTGACGCCCGCTGCTGCTGCTCCCAGTAATGCAGGCTTCTCGGAGAGCATTAAGTTGCAGGCACACCGATTCCAGCAGCTGCGTTTTGCCTTGAAACTTGCTGTACCTGAGACACCGCTGGGAGAATGTCCCCTTCTGGTTGCCGGGAGAGCAAATTTCAAGGCAAAACACAGCTGCTGGATATACCCAGCATATAAGACAACCCCTGATTTTTGAAATAATATTTTTGGGTTAAAAAGTCGTCTTATACACCGGAAAATACAGTAGGTTGGTTCTCACAATTGCAAATACAATCAAGATATGAAAAAGATAACAGAGAGTATGGTTTTAATCTGGGAAGCTCAGAGCTGGATAAGAAGATACTCATGGGAATAGAAGAAAAAATGATTAAAATATTATACAACTATCACGAATCAGATTGGAAGAAGAAAAGGTTAAGGATATAATGATAGCATGGGAAAATAATTTTAGTTATACAATTGAGTTAGAAAAATGGCAACAACTATGGGAAAGGAATTAAAAATTAACTCTGTCAACAGCGTATAAAGAAAATTTGTATAAAATGCTTTATAGATGGCACATGCCACCCGAAAGATTAGCAAAGATATTTAAAGATAAATCAGCGAAATGTTGGAAATGTCAACAACTTCCAGGTTTGCACATGTGGTGGACATGTGCAGAAGCAAGGGATTATTGGATTTGAATAAGAGGATGGTTAGAGAAAATGTTACACTGAAGTATAGAGTTAAGACCAGAGACATTTTTATTAGGTATCTTACCAGAGAAATATAACAAAGAAGATTTTTGATTATACATGTAACAACGGCAGTGAGAATTTTATTTGCACAAAATTGGAAAAAAAATAATGAAAAAAATAAAAGGATGCTTCCCTTAGGAGTGTTGCAGGCAGTAGCTAGGGTTGAGTGCAGGCAGGCGGAAGAGAAGGAAAGAATCCAACTGGGCAATTTCTGGAATAGCTGCTGCCTTTCTACTTCCATCTCTTTTGGGGCTCATTCTCATGGGGTAACTATATGTGTGGCTAAGAACTACTATAATTTTTCCTGACTGATAGTTGGTTCTGTATAGCTCATAAGCTTACATGCCTCTTTTGCCAGTACTGTACAGTTAGTGTTCACTGTAGCCATCTTGACATGATAGCAGTGTTCCAATATTTAGGGGCTGCCACAGAGAGGAAGGGGTCAAGCTATTTTCCAAATCACCCGAAGGCCAGACAAGGAATAATGGGTGGAAACTGATCAAGGAGAGATTCAACCTGGAAAGAAGGAGGCATTTTCGGACAGTGAGAAGCTTTCAAGAAGAGGCTGGATTGCCATCTGTCCAAAATGGTGTAGGGTCTGTTGGGCGAGGGGTTGGATTAGATAATCTACAAGATCCCCTCCAACCAGGGGTGGGATTCAACTGGTTCGGAATTTTACATCTGGTTCGCTGAACAGGTAGTTGCAAGGACTGCCTGACTCCGCCCCTCCCAGGAGTCTCCACGTGGCCCATTTTGGATGCCAGGTAAGTGCAGGGCCCGCACAGAGGCTAAAAAATGAGCCTTCTGGAAATCTGGAAACAAACTCATATCTGGCCTTTTCGCACTCCTGGAGGCTCAAGGAAAGCCTCTGGAGCCTGGGAAGGGCAAAGAACGGGCCTTCCAGAAGTCCAGAAATGGGCCCGTTTCCAGCATCTGGAATGGCCTCCTTCCGGAGACCGAGGGAGGCCATTTTCACCCTCCCAGTGGCTTAAGGAATCCTCCGGAGCCTGAGGAAGGCAAAAGAGCCCCCCCCCCCCATGGTGCAGGAGCAGGGGTGGGTTTCTCGCCCCGTTCCAACTGGTTCGGTTGGAACGAGGCCGGCGGCGTCCTCGCACACACGTGCGGCACGCGCGTACACACACGTGGCACACGCATGCGTACTAGTGTCTGTGTGATGCTCCAGCTGCTCCTGGAGGATCGCGCAGGCGCTGTATGCGTCCTGCGCATGCGTGGAAGCGCAGAATTCGTCAAAACCGGGTAAGGAGCGCGGGCGCGGGGGTGGGCCCTTCGCCGTTCCCGGAAGTTGCTTACTTCCGGGTTCGCCGACCAACCGGTTCGCAGGGACCGCCGCGAACCGGTTGAAACCCACCCCTGTGCAGGAGGCTAAAAATTTTGAATCCCACTCCCCCCTCCAACTCTATTATTCTGCAAGATGAACATGACAACAATAGCTGAACCCGGGAGGAGATTAGTGGCAAGGCATTATGGTGATGGAAATGACACAGCTGCCCAGGACTGGCTGATTTCCACATTCCTGGGTATACAATATTAACCTTGTAAACCTGACTCAGTGGTTGGCCGTTTAAAGCCCAGCAGGATCTGGTTACTTTGTGCTGCAATGGACACATTTTTTTCTGTAATACTTTTGTTAGGTCTACCCAAAAGTACTTCATCCAACTCACGTAGCAGCTGATTCCTTGAAAGTGGATCTGCTTCTTTCCCTTAAAAAAACAAAAAAAAACCATAGGGATCTGCATTTCTCTGTGGACCCAGGTTTCTTTCTACCTTTGCAGTGAGCAAATTATTGGATTTGTGTTGCATTAAAATTTTGAAATATTTAGAAGAGCATTTTCCCCTTAGCAAGATTGTTTTTAAAAGCAGGCCATTTAAATGTGGGCTTTTAAATCATTTTTAGCTGGATTTCATTATCTTCCAGGAATGGAATTTTTATGAGAAATTGAGCAGAATGAATTTCAGCTTTTTATTTCCTTTTTACTTTTTTAATTGGGTTTTCAGTCCTTTTTGTTATATCATAGATATTTGGAAAATACTATTATATTATTTTAGCAGAAGGTTCTTGAATACTTGCATTAATTAAAACTTCTCTGTTATCTATAATTACAAGAGGAGTAAGCCTGAATATTTGTACATTTCCCTCCACATCTGTCCATTCCTCCATCCATCTTCAACTTTGATTTGTTGCTGGAATAGATTGATTTTCTCAGTGCATTCAAGAGTCCTGTGTGAACTTAGTCAGTATGGTTATTTTATGTTTGTGCAATTGACTTAATTCAGCTGTTACTAGTAAGTAAATGAAATCTTCAAGTTGAAGTGTTCATTTAATTTTCCTGGGAGCAGTATGGAAAACATGATCCTCTCTTTTCTTCTGGTTCCTTCTCTTGATGTGAAATTAAAAATGTTGCATTTTGTCCTCTTTCAATTTAGCTATTATGTGTTTTCTGAAATTATTGCCAGGTTTTATTCACAAAGTCTAACTATTGCTTTTTTTACAAGCATTACAATGATTAATGGCATCAAAATCATTTTAATGATAGAGACAGATTATGAATATTTAAAATAAAATGATACTAGGTCTTCGTTCAGTAATGAGCATGCTCTCTTCATGTTGAAACCTTCCAAGTTCAATTCTTGACATCTCCCTTCATGTTTTTTTAAAGGAAAAACTTCAGGAATGGGGCAAAAAATCCTGTTATTAAACATCGTAGAGATCAGTTGCTAATCATAATAGATCCTCATCCTGAACAGACTGATTTGGTGCTTGAAATCTCACTCGTTTAATTGTCTGTTCCCACAGCTTCTTGACCAGGAAGACTATCTTCCTTCAGCATGTGAGCCCCAAGATGTGGCCCATGGATATGTAAAAATCAAGGTAATGACAGAAATGATATTTAAAATTGATGTTTTAATTGCTTTCAGTAGGGGTGTTCTAATCTAGGCTTCTCAAGAACATGAAGCAAACTCCTTGTCCCGACAAAAACACTTTTTATTAATTTACTGTGAATTCTGCTCATTCACATCCGGTAAAGCCTTACAAGGGAGGATTTATAGTCACAGACCTTATGTGACTTGGAGAGCTGCCAGGCCGATATCTGCAAAACTTGGCAAGGAGTCTCAGAGAGTCACGAACCAATTAAGCGAGCTAATTGTTTCCTGCAAACTCCACTCCCCATTCGCTCCTCTTTTATTTCCTCTGGGAGGGGCCATTCATCGCCTTACTCCTAAGTCGACCCTGTTTTTTAGCTGTTCCCTTCGTCTGGCAACTTTATGCATGTGCACACTGGAAACAGGCTCCAGCTGTTCATCTGCCTCACTGATCTCTGACTCTGAAGGCAGCTGATAACTGGCATACGGCCAGAGGTGGGTTTCTGCTGGTTCACCCTGTATCGGGCGAACCAGTAGTGGTGCCGGCGGGAGGCTCTGCCCACCCACCCATTGCATTAGCACGCATGAGCGAACCAATAGTAAAATAAATTGAAACCCACCACTGCATACAGAATGCAGCCGTGCAAGCGATATCGGGTGTACCTAGGTACACCCATGTTACACCTATCCTCCGCGAGCTGCACTGGCTTCCTATTGGTCTCCGAACGCGCCTCAAGGTGCTAGTTATTACTTTTAAAGCCCTACATGGCTTAGGACCTGGATATTTGAGAGACCGTCTCCTGTCACATATCCCCCAACGCCCAATAAGATCTCACAGGTTGGTCCCTCTCCGAGTGCCGTCGTCCGGACAATGCCAGCTGGTGGCTCCTCGGGGGAGGGCCTTCTCTGTAGCTGCTCCGGCCCTGTGGAACAATCTACCCATAGAGATCCGGACCCTTCTCACTCTCTTGGCCTTCCGAAAAGCCACTAAAACCTGGCTGTTCCGGCAGGCCTGGGGTTGTTGAACATGGTCCAGCCCCACTTAAATGGAATGTATGGTGTGTTCTTTTTAAATTGTATCTCGTTACTTTTTTAACTTTTATTTTTATCTTTCTGTAAGCTGCCCAGAGTCCTACAGGATTGGGCGGCATACAAATTTATTAAATTGCCAATTGCCAATACGGCCCTAGGCCCCTCTCTGCCTCTGACACAAAGCCCTCAACAGTGCCTTTCCCAGACTCCAGGACTGGCCCATGTTCCTCCCCAACCTCCTCACAGCCTGAATCTGCTGCCAGCTCCGCTGACAGGTCACAACAGGGAAAGCAATTCTGTTTATTGTGATTTGAGCATATAAAAATGAAAAATCTTTTTCAAGAAGAAATTGGAAAACGATTTGTCTGAAATAATATAGGGTTTCCTGCCTGAGCAGAGGGTTGGATTAGAAGACCTCCAAGGTCCCTTCCAAATCTTATTATTCTGTTCTGTTCTGAATCATGTATTGTGCCTTAGTCATTTCATATAATGAAAACAGCAGGCTCAGATTTATCCCAAATAACTAGCAAGACATGATTTCAGTCACCTTGTTTGCATCTGTCCAGACGGCATCCAGCTGAAAGCAAATCTGGCCTTATTTTCAGTCTCTCTCATGTTCTTCATTGCAGTTCAGCAAATGCTTTTTCAACCCCTCTACATGTAAACAGTGCCATTTAGCTGGGGCTGTAATGTACTATAAGAGAGAGAAAATAATGCCATTTTGCTGCTTTTGTAAAAGCTAGCAATATCTCCCATTTGCTTGGATTCATTCCTTGACTTCTGCCACTGACAATACCAGTTTCTTTACAGGAAGGTGGGTTTTGATTATCTATTTCTCATTTCCCATATGGCAATTTTAAGTAGGGGGTGGAGGTAGGTGCTCTCTCCAAGCCATTGCTTTGCTTTGCATATAGCTGTTTTCTGTTTTTGTTATTATGCTTGACCTACTTTTCAACAATTTGCTCTGAAGTTTAGAGATGCAGTTTCTTCTGCCTTTGATAATTCCGACTCAAGCCTTTCTTCCTTCCTTCATGTCTTTAGCCAGACACCGAGTTGCACTTTGTGGAGATGGGGAGTGGTCCAGTGATTTGCCTCTGCCACGGATTTCCAGAGTCCTGGTTTTCTTGGAGGTTCCAGGTGACATAATTTTTAAACATATTTATTCCTAGTTTGCATGAATGCCATATTTTGAAATAAGTTCAACTTACTTGAAGGAAAAGGAATATCCCTTTCTCATACATAATATATGGCAGCTGCAATGTTTACATGGAAGCTTTGGGTTGTAGGAAAATGGGCCCATATTACCTGTGCACCCAACAAGGTTACTTTTGTCTTTTTTTCCATGTTAGATTCCTGCCCTTGCTGATGCTGGCTTCCGTGTCATTGCCTTGCAAATGAAAGGCTATGGAGATTCTGTGGGTCCACCAGGTATATGTCCCCCCCCCTCTCCCTCCCTCCCTCCATGTGTGTGTGTGTGTGTGTGTGTGTGTGTGTGTGTGTGTGTGTTTTAAAACAGATTCACTGAAATCGTCCACT